GGAGATTTGAACACTTGATGAGATTCAAGGTCACTGAGACCATGAACATAACATAAATGCCAATGTGGTATTCACAATAACAAATGGATATGCTCTTCCAATGAAACGTTTGTAAGATGTGTACAGTTATATAAAGAATTGACCCTTTGGTGGGCCAATGATAATGAGTTATTTTCTACATCTAACCTGACATATTTTAAAAGGGCTATTTTTTAATAAGTACGGAGCTCGTGCTCTGAGAAGGACATCTGAGTGCTAATGACGGTTAAGCTGAAGTGACCAAAAATCTTTGGCCCTTAAGGGGCTGGGGTAGGGGGACAGCAGCAGTGCACCAGGATATTGCTGGTTCATTCAGACATAAGAGGCATTTCAGAAAGTGCTTTCTAAAATTCAGAAGGAGAAAGACCTATTGGTCTAGTGAGATGTTTCAAAAACACTGGTGTTTGTTATCTTTTGTGGACACTGAGCAAAAAGCAATGAGCCATGTCTGTATCACATGAATCAAATGGTGTATATCTGCTTTAGAATGCTACAAGTATCTCAAGATTTATTTTGAAATGGAGTTGGTTTTGCTTGGGAATTGTTTTGTTATATTTCAAGTTTTCTACTTTTAGCCTTGATGGGAAATAGTACAGCCTTCAAGCACTTGGAAAATGCTCTACAGATCTGTGTTTCCCATGGATGAGAACTGAGTTCACATAAGTGATTTTTCTACAAAACCTAGGTGCTGGAAGGCAAAAGCTTTACACACTGATGAAAAGGAAGTACCTATCACCTTGCAGTATGGATTTAGCAGGAGGCTTTAAACTCCCAATGTCAGATACCAAAACTGATGAATGTTTTCTGACTTTATACCAAAGTATTCCTTCTAAACCAAATCCAGAATCTTGCCCAGGGCATAACAAGCTTTTGTAATTAACAAAATAAATTTTTGTAATGGATTACTGCACCCTGCAAATTCACTTATGATGATTCCAGGTGCATCCTAAAAATTAGTCTCCATCTTATACAGATTTTTTTCAATTGCCTATAGCTGTTGAAAGCATGAATTACTGCTCTTATAAAGCACATAACTGCTGTTTATCATTTTCATATATACTAGCCAACAAAAACTGAATGGGCTGAGAAATCCCATTTACTTATCTAAATGATGTTTCTCCAAGTGGTCTCTTTGTTTTATGGCTTCAGATTAAATCAAGGCAGTCTGAAACCAGACTCTAATTTGGTTTTTGTCTTGTAAAAGCTGGGGGAAGAAATATGCAAGAGTGCACTGAATAATTAATAAAATGCTATTTGTTGTGGCACTGTGCAATAGGAATAGCACTTAGAAACCTCTTTTGAAATCACTGCATGCAGAATCTGCAGACAGAGACCATGCTACGATAAGTCCTTTTTCCCTTGACATGTGTTTACATGTGTTTGTCTTTGTTGGATGCAAATGATCTGCATTGCACTTCCCTTGGAAATCACTAAATGTACAAAAACACTGCAAAAGTAAAAAATAATGGAAACTGTGTGCTTAAAAAAACCATCCCCAAATACATCATTTAACATAAAAACTTCAGCAATAACTTAAATAGGCCCTCCAAATAACTTTTTTGTTCCCAGAATACATAATAAATCCTTTATAAAGGGCTTTGTTTTCATGGATTAATTTTACAAATATGATGCAGTAGGAGGAGACAGGCATGGCTAACTCAATGCATATGAGAGCAATAGTAACTGAGCTGCTCCAAAGTGATAGTTTTTCCTCCAGTCCCACTTAACCTGAATTTGAAACAGTGTATTATGAAATGTGTATGAAATGTGTATTATGAAAGTTTGACAATCATAACCTCAGGCCTGGCCTTAACTATTTCCATGATGTTTTTCTATTATCTTCCCTTAGGTTTTCCTAAGCCCTCAGTAACTTCATGTAGCTTTGAGGCTGGCCACACCTGTAGAACAGGGCTATACCAAATGATGTCCAGAGGCCCCTTGAAACCTAAATTAGTCTCTAGCTGTAAGCGCTGGGCACCTGTAAATTCAAGGCTTTGGTACTTTGGGTACCTTAGCAAGCAAGTCATCCAGCCCCTACCAGAACTTCAAAAGTTATGTTTTTTAATAGCACCTTTGTGATTCTCTTGTATATTCTTTTCCACAGAGATGCTGTTCCTCATGCCAGGAATAGCATTGTCTATGCACTTCCTTTCTCTTGGTTGTAGAAGTCAGTTTGGCAAGAGGTGAGATCAAATCAATGATGGAGAGAGCCAGCTTGCAGTCACTGGCCACCACTAATCACAGCAGAAGTCTGGCAGTGCTCTCTTAAAGGTGGAGACTGCACTGATATGAGAGGTGAAGAACAACATGAGAAAGGGAAACTGTTGTTGGCTACATGTCCATGAGCCAAGTGGAGCTGTAACAGGTCTTCCAGACCAGTTAGAAAATGATGAAATCCAAATAGAGCAGTCAACAGGACTATACCTTTTGCCAGCCAGCTCTCTACCTTCCCTGTCCCAGAAACAGCTTGTGATCTTTCTCTCAATGGCAACTGACTGGATTTTAGTTGGGGAGGGAATATGGATCACCCTATGTAGATGGGGAGGCCATATGGGGACTAGTTGCTTTAATTTTTGATGACTGTTGCACGCTCTGGATAAAAGCATAGAGGCATAGATATAGCAAAACAAATTGCTGTATCTTTCCAGGTGTCCTGATGCCTCCAGAAAGCAATTTTCAAATGTGACTACTCTTGTAATCCTTGCACAGCATCCCTTGAAGAAAGATTCTGTGGAGAAGCTCCCCAAAAGAAGCAGCACCTTTGACTCCTGACCACTGCGAGTCATTCTTGGTCCACAAACTTTGAGGGTAACTAGATTTCGGAGCAATATACATGCCAGTCTTGAGAGCATCTATTCTGGCAAGGGTGCTGCCTTTGCAGTCAAGGCAGTAATTTAAATGTGTAGATTTCTTCCCTCACAGCAGACAAGTGAAACTGGGAGTCTTAAAAAAACTGAGGCATGATTCTCAAACATGTGAGACAGATGTGAACTCCAATAGTGCCTTCCACTGGGCTCTACTGGGCCAACATTTGCAAATAAGTAGTTATAAAGGTATGTGAAGTTCCAGTCCACTGGTCAGCAGGTCAAACCCTGAGAAGGTCCACCTTAGACCTTAGAGCTAAAATCGTTCATGTCCTACCAGCATCCTCTGTCCTTGCCAAATCACCCTGCACCTCATTTCTGCAGGTTAACACCCTGCCTCTCAGACTGCCTTTTTAAAGGCATTTTTTAAAGGCAGTTTGTCTTCTGTCTTTAGCAGCCCATAGGTATCCAAAACACTTTGTGGTTTGCCTCCAGCAGGACAACAGCTATAGCATGTTCTTCACATGAAAACAGATGCTAACTTTTCTCTAAGATCTCAGAATGACCTTTAACTTGGCTATATTTTTCAAAAGAAGTAGTTCATGAAGAAAGAAGGAGGAGGGTTTTTTTTCCCCTACAAATAGTCTGTCACCCTCTCTCATTACTGTTGCAGATAATGTTGAAAATATCTCTTTGATACATGTGATATAGTACTCAAGAAGCCCCTTAAGACATTTGCCCTGCCGGAGTGTTGTTACCTTCAGAATCTGACTTACATTAAGGCTTTACCTTTAACAAGATAAACCTGATGTAACTGGAGTGCAGTTATCCCCTCTTTCCTTGTATGGAAATCTCTTATAAGCAGTTTTAAAGTAAATTTTAAGACCAGATGGTTACAACTATTTCTTTTAGTCTGTATTCTCCAAAATGCAGATCAATATAAGACTGATTTTTTTGACTGCTTCCTGAAGTTAGGAACTGTAGCCCAACAGAAAAAAAGAAACAGGTAAACAACTGAAACAAGTTTGTATCTTGTTCACTATTTGAGGATCGCATGTCTAAAAAATGATGTTGGCAGATTCACATCACAACCTTCAGCTGCACAGTTTGTCACAGGCAACCAAGATGAGGGAATATGGATGAGGATTAATTTGTTCCATGATTCTGTAGAGCCTTTCCCCCAGCATTCTCAATTATGTATTTAAAAAGCAATGTAATGGATATGAAGAGAGAAAATTACAATGAAATAACAAGTTATATGTTAAAGTTTACAGCAGATGCATCTCAGTAATCTGGAAATAACTTGCAATAAATAGCTCAGTTTTGGAAAACGGTGTTCTTTACTGGCAAACACTCTTCTGTAGACTGTATTAATACTGATAGAGGCTCTGCTTCTTACATTTTTTAGTCTCTGTGCACGTGGTAGTCTTTCACACAAATTCCTGTATCCCTATCTTTTCCATTTCAAAACGTTAATCCTTCTCTATGCAGAAAGGTCCGTGTGGGATTTAAATACATTTTAAATGAGTGAGGATCTACATTCAGAGGCTAAAGGAGTTTTTAAAATGCACATTTTGTGGAAATCCCGCTTCACAGATAACACCTTTCACTGAAAGGCACCGAGGTTTTGCTTGGATGTTTGGCTTTTGAACATCCTTGGTTCCAAGGGCACAGCTTTTTACAGGATTAAGCTTCACATTATGCAAATTACTGTATCAAGACCAATTCACCTCCCAAGTTGTTCTGTGCCTTCAGGAAGGTATGATCTCATTCAACTGTAGATACTGATCTATTTCCCACATGGCACACAACCTTGCATTCAAGAACAAAAGGCAGCTCAAATACAGAAGGCCCCCAGAAAATCTGCAAAAATGCACTGAAAATATGTGGCAGTATCTGTTCAACTGTTTACTTCATTGCTTCATTCAGTCCATTGGCTGAACACATCCAGGTCCTTTGCAGCTTGCTGGGCTGATGTGTCCTTTAACTCCATTGATATGACAAGCCCACAACAGCACTTGTCCACCCACTGCCTTGTTGTGAAGGATATAAAATAAAGGCACTTATGGCAAGCACTGCAGGTAAGCATCAGTAGCTCTTCCTCAAAGCTCAGTCTGTGGAAAAAACCCGTGGGGCTGCACAGTGAGGCCAGGAGGTTCACTCAAAGAGACAGATGTAATCTGGTTCTTGGTCTTCTTGGCCACACGGGTAAAGCAACAGCTCCTTCCCCAAGGAAGTGATGGGTTCTTCCTGTTGATACAGAATATGATTAAATGCCACCTTTCAAACAGACCCTACCTATCACAACATCACAGAGTGAACAGCACTCTCTCTGCCTCTCTTACATTGTGTACTTGTTCATCCTGCTGCACTGTGACCTGGGAAACTCAAGGAAGGACCATGGCTGACCTCTGTCTTCATAAAACAATGTCTGTGCTCAGTACAGGAACCAAGTGACAGGACTCTGGAAGTTCTCAGGAAGAGCTGTGCTGATCTTGTAGGCAACTGCAGTTTCTACTGTGTGAAATGCTGCCCTGCCTAGAATGTGCTGAAGCAAGGACTGCTCAGCATGCAGGATGAGGTGGTTGTGCACCATGCTCCTGGCTGCTTTTGTAGGAGGGACAAGGGTGGATCCTGGAGTGAGCACGTGCCTTCTGCTCAGGCCAGCCCTGTTCTAACAAGGGACCTCCCTGATAATACATACAGTCTCTGCTTTCCATCTCTTTCTCCACCCTAGCAGCAAATGCATGGTGGGAACTTGCCTTCTTTCATGGTCACCCAGTGGGTGATAAGCAGAACCACTAGAACACTTCAGCAGAGTGGGGTCACCCTGCCCACATCTGCTGGAAGGCAGGGGGTCTGTAGGATTCTTTGCAGACTGTGGGCATGGCTCTACCTTTAATATAGGCACGCACAGCAACTTAAATCCTCTGGCTCTGGTACCAATAGCCATTTAGCTCCTGCTTTCAGCAATTTTAGCCTGAACTGTGAAACCCATGCAAGAGGCAAGTTCAGGTAGCCCAGGCAGAGCTCCATACAGCAAATTAACATAAATATTTTCCTCATGTCCTGTTTTTTTAGCCATGTCTGTATTAGGCTAGGCACCTATTTAAATAAACATGGATTTTAACTGAACATTTAGGCAAAATAATTGTCCTGTCCCTGGGCAGATCTTACAGTAAAAGAATGAAGAATCCACCTGGCCCTCCTTGGAGCCCATCTAACTGCAATCAATGCTAGTAAATACTGCTGTTACTTCTGCAAGAATCTGCCAACCTTCTTCCTTCCCTGCTATTTTTTATCTTTGCACAGTATCACACTTGACCTTCTTTGAGATTATATATTTGTTCATGCTGAAGCTGGTAGCAAGCAGGATTTTCTGCTTACCCACAACCACAGAGGGAATTTAAAAAGAAAAAAGAAAAAAGAAAAAAAAAAAAAAAAAAAAAGAGGAGTCTATGTGATTATGCTGTCAGCTCTCACCTTATCAGCATTTCTACCAAATAGTGTGTAAGTAACTTGAGCCCTGTGTGCAAGGTGTTCCGAACACTTGAGGGGGAGTGAGTCAGGTCTAAAATGTTTGAGCTGTGTTAGGCCTCCTGAGATGTATCCATCAGGCTGGCATAACCTTCCGGAGCAGCACCCAGGATACCCAATGGCAGCTCAAATGGGTCTAGCCACCTGCTTTAAAACAACCAAATCCATTCTTTCTTATTTTGAAGTGCCCTGAGGCAGTTAAACAAACAGTCACTGAATGCATTGCTACATGTTCACCTTATGGTAGTCTACAAGGTCAGCCAACGTTGCATGTTGTAGCTGGTCCACTCCAAGGAAGCTGTAAGAATCACTGGAGGCATCAATGAGGAAGTGTTTACACTTCTCTTCAGATCGATAGGAGAGCACATAGCCTTTGATTTTCTCACTGACCCGGACCAGAAAACTCCCTGGTACTGTTTTATTCAGAAGCTCCTCTGCTTTCTTAGAGGTCAGAATACCTGTTTGAAACCAAAACACAAAACTGAAGGGAGGAAAAGCAGCACTGAGTGGAACAGTTCTCACAAGAAATCTGCTTTACTGCTCTAAAACTGGTCCATGACGCTTCATCCCTTGCATTGCTTTCTTGCCAGTAACCCAGGAAGACCAGCACTGCCACTGTGAGGAACTGACCATGGCCACATGATGTTCACTGTACCAGACTCAACTAATTATGAATGAGAGACATGCAGGGCTCAACAGGATAGTTTCCGTGTTAAGAGAACGAGTGGCATTGCAGTGTGTTGTATGTTGACTCCAATGCAGCAGTGCTGTGCAGGCAGTGACCCCTGTCAGAAAGCCATGCAAGCACTGAAAGCCCAGCAACAAGAGCGTAATGCTTTTGTTGCTGCAGTCTTGGATCAAAGTGGTTTCCAAAGGAAGGGAGATTGGTGGAATCATGATGATCCGTTAGAAATGGGACAGAAAGGTGACAGATTATGAGCACATATGGAGGTAAAATCACCTGAGGCCAAGGATGAAGTGTGCTCAAATCTCTCTCACCCTAGTAGGAACACTTACCAGGGTAACCATGCATCCAGTACCCCAGGGAGGCAAGGGTGGCACAGACACAGGGTATTTTGAAGATCTGGCCTCTGTTCTAACACTTTAGCTTGCCTTTTGTTACGATGCTAAAGGAATTTAAACTACATTAATAAATATTTAAAATAGAAAACATAGCCACCTTCTAAAAGCTCCTGGCCTAACCTGTGGCAGCAGCCTATTTAGCAGAAACAACTCTTTAATGAGCTGGGTTGGGGCAGAAATGCTCAGGACTCACCATGGAACCAAGGAGCTATCCTGTCTGTGGTTTTCTGATAGCCAGCTCGGAGAGGGAATTGCTCCTGCTTGAACCACTTGATGATGCTTTCTTCAGTGGAATTGGAGATTGTCCTCTGGATCCCTTCTTTTCTGTTAGAAAAGACCATGGCTTTTGCATCAAGTTCAAGCAACAGATTTTGAGTAATTGTCAGGGCTTACCTTTTGTTCAGGATGTTCAGCACAGCCCTAAGCAGAAGGCTTACAGTAGTGCAGCTGTCAGCAGCATAATGCGGTTTTCAGTGGACACCTAGCACAGAGCATGTATGCGCTCTAGGCTTAGGACACTCTGCTAAACAAACCTGTTGCTCTCCAGGGATGAACAAATCAGCCTCATCACACCCTAGGCCAGAATATAGCCTAGGCTCTGGATGTTTCCCTGTGGGGCATCTCTTCCACAGAAGGAGGAGAGCTAACCATTCCCATCTCAACCATCTCATGCAAGGTAGAATAATCTCATCCCTTCACCCCTCCACAGCGCACAAGGGTTTCCTTACCTAATCACTCTCCCATTTGCCACTGCAGGAGGCAGAAGTTTAGGCTTGGGGGGAAGAGGTGGGTATTGGAGTGGTCGCCGATCTCTTGCTGTGGCACCCTTGGAAATATCCGCCTGCTTCCCTCTGTGGATGCCCTGCAGTGAAAGCCTCCTGTAGTCGTCCCTAGCTTGCTGTGCAAGGGAGCGTCTTTTCTCATCTGCTGCCCTGGATTTCCGCACTGGAACAAAAAAGGAGTCCTGCAGGAGCGAACAAGCAGGCAAGTTTGAAACTTGCTGCCCTTTGGCCATCTTCCTGCTTGATGAAGTGGAAGAACAACGTGCTTCACAAGGTCAAAGTTGCACTCAATTGTGAGACCATTTGCCACATCTCCCATCACTTTTGGGTATCTGCTACTTAACAGGGTGCCAGTTTTATTCCTTCAGGAGATCAAAAATCTGGGTTCTTTCTGGGCACCCAGTCCCTTTGTACTTAGAAACTACTTGGTTCTTGGTTTTGTTTTGGATGCTGACTCCTAGTTCAGACACTGATTTCTGTAGTGCCTTTCATGTGTGCCAGCCAGGGCAGGGGGGAAGTATATGGAATAAAAGCTGCTGAAATGACCCCAAATCAATCGTTTGAAGGATTTGAAAATGCTGATCATTTATTGAGGGAGGTTTGCAGAAACTGTTATGGAAACTGGAGAACTTGGCTGGAGATTATTTATTTTTTTTCTGTAAAAATGCTTTGATTGTTTATGTCCAGTTCATCTTGGAGTCTGTAGGAATAACCAGCTCTCCAGAGTTAGGCTCCTTGCTTCTGTAATCAACTTCAGATATTTTTCTTTTTATCAGTAAGAAAAATAAAACCCCTGGCCTGAAGTAGAAACAACTGGTAGTACAGTATTGCCATCTACTGAGCAGCAGGGAAGGAACTGGGGAAAAAAGATGTATCAGGTTCTCCTTCAGGAAGTATTTGGCAGCAGTGATGAATGCTACTGCAAGTCTCATAATGCTTGCAGTTTTCCTTCCTATCATTGGGATGCTTCACATGAGACAATGTACCAGGGCTCTGCTTAGGTGGGACCATGCTTGGATGACAGTGAAACACTTTTTAGTTCATAAATCATAGAATGGTTTGTGTTGGAAGGGACCTTAAAACTTGGCTGGAGATTATTTTTTTTTTTCTGTAAAAATGCTTTGATTTTTTATGTCCAGTTCATCTTGGAGTCTGTAGGAATAACCAGCTCTCCAGAGTTAGGCTCCTTGCTTCTGTAATCAACTTCAGATATTTTTCTTTTTATCAGTAAGAAAAATAAAACCCCTGGCCTGAAGTAGAAACAACTGGTAGTACAGTATTGCCATCTACTGAGCAGCAGGGAAGGAACTGGGGAAAAAAGATGTATCAGGTTCTCCTTCAGGAAGTATTTGGCAGCAGTGATGAATGCTACTGCAAGTCTCATAATGCTTGCAGTTTTCCTTCCTATCATTGGGATGCTTCACATGAGACAATGTACCAGGGCTCTGCTTAGGTGGGACCATGCTTGGATGACAGTGAAACACTTTTTAGTTCATAAATCATAGAATGGTTTGTGTTGGAAGGGACCTTAAAGATCATCTAGTTCCAACCCCCCTGCAGAGGGGTTTAGTTAGACATCTGGTTAGTCTCTGTCACCAATTATTCCTGTCCTCAAGAGCAACAGTTACTGCAAAGTCCTACAAAAGGCCAGCTCCTAGTTTAAATTTATTTATCCTGGCAATACTCATGTGGATCCTATTTGTTTCTTGTTTTAATATAGTACTTGTCAGTAAAACTTTTCATTTCCCTGCCCAGCTCAATTCTCAATGCTCTATGGACTCAGAAATATTTCTGATAATGCAGCTCTGTAGTTCTTGGCAGTACTCTTTACCCACTGACTGATTATTCAGTTACAGTGTGGCAGAGGGATTGAGATGACCCCACAGAGCCCTAGAATTTCTCAAGCCCCATAGGAAAAGGTCGTCCTAAGATCTTACAGGATTCCTGCCATTCAGGCTCATTCTCATCTGTTTTCTGCAGGGTCCTCTGGCTCTCCAAGCTGGGATGGCTCTGTGGTATTGCATCCTGGGTGGCTGTGGCCTCTTCTGAATTTCTCCTCTGTGCTTCCTTCATCTATGAAAGAAACAGTATGTTCAGCTTTGTTGCAGGCTAGTTTTAAAGCTGCTTTTTAGCTAGCCTTGTATTACTAGGAACTCCATTCTCAATTGTGAATCTCTCCAATTTCAATAACATACTGACCCTCTGTTCTGTCTTTACTGTATGTGACAACAGAGGAAGGGAAAACAGTCTGCCAGAAATCATTGGGAGCATCTTCCTGTGCTGCTCCCCAGTCTGCCAACCTAGCCCGCTTTGTAACATCTCTGAATCGCCACACCATCTGTAAGGACCATGGCAACACTGAATAAAACTGGTCCAAGAGCTGAGGACGTTTCTAGGGTCAGATAAGGCTCTGAGGCTAATTGTGACTCTAGGATAAGGTCTGGGTTCCACTCAATGTGTTAGGTGCATCCTAGGTTGCCACTTACCTGTTGGAAGCCATGCTTCCTCATGTGGCAGTCTGCCAGCATCTGGTGAACATCTCTGGTTTCCCTCTGGGTGGAGGAAAACAGCAGTGAGAAATAAATGCAGGGTTAGGACCATGGCTCTTTTTTTGACTAAAAGGTGTTTAAAGCAGAAGCAGCGATGTGACGTTTATATTAACAATTTTTGCCAGCCTTCTATGACCAACACTGGGTTTTTTCACCATATGAGGCCCAACATGCCACATGAGGACAACTCAGAAGTGTCAGGATTGTCATAAGCAAACCTAGATTTGCCAAGTGTTGCTCCCAAGTGCTCCCAGGGAGCGGTTCTTCCCTCCCTCTAAAGCAAGCCCTAGCAGAACCTGCCATCCACAGCTTTACCTGCCTGTGCTTGTTTGCAGCTATGGCTGGAGTGCTGCAAACCCCTGCTTGTCAAACTGACCCAACCAGCTGCATTTCGGGCTTTTGTTCTTCCCTGAAAACCAGTCTAGCTACCCCGGCAGCAGTCACTGGCTGAGACCTGCCTTTGAAGACAAACAGTTAGACTTGTCTTTGAGCAAACACCCACCTGCCTCCCCATTGGACCCAGACTGCCTCCCACAGCACAGTAAGTAAGGAGTTAACTGTACTACTCTGCTTACCAAGGACATGATTTGTTTTATCTCCATCACCTGCTTAGCTAATATTTAATATGAACAAAGCTTTCTAATTCCCCTCTCCTTGACAGGAAACTGAACTTCAAATGTGTGTGATTTCCCCAGAAACCTGGGAAAATTGCTAATAATATAATGACAGAAAACAAAAGTAAAATATACAAACCCCCTCTAATTCCATGTGCAGGACTCTGAAAGGGGGTTGTATATTTTTTTGGTAGTGGTGGGATTTTTAATTTGAGTTTTTTGCCGCCCTCCCCCCACCCCCATCTTTTTTTTTGTTAGCTGTGACTAATGACTTCCCTTGAAAAGCAAAAAAAATAAAATCTCCCACATAGTTGTTCAACTTCAGCAAACAGTGTGTGCTAAGAAAAACCCCATGTGACTCAGAGCCTTTTGATAAAGGAGACAGCCAGTCCAAACTCCCTTCAGTACTCTGGTAGCAGAACAGGCACTTTGCCAAAACCCAGCCTTCACTTATTGTGCTTTTTATCCCAAAATACAGAGCAGCTGTATAATAAAAGAATATACACTCATACAAGTTAGAAGCAAAAGGCTGAATGAAAACTTTGCTGAAGGAGATTGGACTTCTCCCATTACACTGGCACAGTGTTCTGTTACTTCTGTTCAACTTTGGTTGCATGGGCAGCTCATTTAACTCATCTTTTTCTCAGTTTTCTTCAAGTGCCTTTTTGTAGAAAATTAAAACGTAGAAATATATTTATTATGGGAAAAAATATTTCTGTAATGAAACACAACAGCAAAGTGAACACTGTAGCTACTGCATTTGGAGTTGATTTGGAGGTTTCCTATGCTGTCAAGGTCATAAGCTATTTTCTAACTGGTTTAGAGGACCAAAAAAAAACAAAAAGGAAGAATGAATAACCTAAAATATGCCTGTCAGAGGATGCTGGCTAAATTATCTTCATCTGTTCTTTTAGACAAATAGATTATTTGTCTGAGGGCTGTGGCCTTGCATGTACAGATCCTGGGATAGCCTCCCTGGTGTTCTGCTAAAAGCCATCCAAATCAGCCACAGAGCAGGAGAGAAAGTACTGTGACACTTGTTTTACCCACAGAGAGTGGAAGCAAAAGAATCCAGAATAACTTATCTGTCAGTGCAGAGCAGATCTATCCCAGCTGAGAACAGCACTCCGACCTCCCAAGTCCTAAGGAAGGATGTAACAGTGTGGCTTCTCTGACTACAGCAGAAAAGACTTAGCAGTTACCTGGGATTTTTTTCTTCTTCAAATTTCTATTTACAGTAACCAGGATTTGCTGCACTTCCTAGATCTCAAAGTATGTGTTCCTCATTCTTATGAAGAAAAAGGGGAAAACCACCTTTTTGAGTTCCTGGCTTTTCTCTCCTGTAGCAGCAGCAGTGTTTCTCCCATATTCCTTCTTTTCCACAACAGTGCTTTTTTTTTTTCTTTGAAGATTCTTCTCACTCAGGACTTCTGGTTGTGGATGCAGAGGCCATGTTACGGAAGAATCATTCTCTCTGAAATGCAAGAGAGAGGACTTATGATCCCAAAGGAATCACTTTCTGCTCTCTGAGTACCCTGCAAGGAAGCCGCACGTGAGAAGAGCAGTGCTGTGAAGAAGCAACATTCGTGCAGGCAGCTCTCATACCTCCAGATCACGGAGGCGGGATCATTAAATGAATGACTCATAGTGAGTAACTGTCGTCCTGCTGTACATGGGCATCTGTCGGTGAATCAGTGCAATCCAAACTCATCACCTGCTGCAGCAACAGACTAAGCATTTCCTGTGGTCTGCAGAGGGTACCATGCAGGAGCCATATCATGGGAGGTTCATGAGCAAGGGCAGGCCTCAGGCTGGTCTCTGCCATTGTGTGTACTCACAGAAATCCAACCTTTTCCTGCACCTTTCGCCTGCATGTCAGGTGTGATAGTGGTAACCACAGCCCCTACAGAGAAGACTCCAGCCTCTGGGTCCCTAGGAATGCCTTCTCTTCCATGTCTGCCCACTGAGTCCACCAGCTGAAGGGTGCTTACCTGTCCTCTGTGCCTTGCTCTCTCACTAACTGCTTTGCCCTTTGTGCCTGGATCTCTTCACAGATGGCTTCATATGATTTGTCTGAAGGATGTTCGCCCATCACCCAGACCCAGACATCATTGTCTGCACCAAGCTTCCATGTCACCATCTTCCCATTGGCTGGAAAAGAAGTAATTTTCTGGCAAACACTGTTTGCTCAGTTGCTCCGTGCAGGGTCCATGTCCCACTTACTGTGCCCTCCTGCACAGCTCTCCCAAAGCAGCTGTATGTGGGGGGCAAGACTGGTTGGGACACAGCACACACCTCCCATTTCATTTCACAGCACTGAAGCCAGGTTAGTGAAGGAGTAATTTCTGAGTGTAAGGGCAAGGGGGAAGATTCACCACTGTTTCCTTTCTTGTTTTAAATTTTTGCCACTACCCTCCACAAACTGTGAGGGGGAACCACCTGCAGATCTGGCAGAAGAGTGCTATCTCTCTAGCAGCTGGCATGCTGTGTAATCCCGGCAAGGGGGCATCAGGTCTACAGGTACAATGGGAACCCCCCTTCAGACCTGGAGCCACAGGACAGATGTTCAAGATCATAGTTATTTTATAGACAGATTCACAGGCCCCATTTAGTGGGAAACATAATGAGACGCATCTCCTGGGGCAAATAAGCCCTGTTTTCCCAGTTAGGGGAGTTGAGCAATTTGGTCAAGGACAGAGTGTCTGGGCCAGGGAGTAAACCCATTGCGTGCCTAGCTAAAACTACCCCATCACAAGTGAGTTTAGTAACAATTTGGAAATATGGCTATAATATGTCCTGGGGGGAAGAAATTACTCTAAGGACGCATTACCTCTTATTTCTAGGGAACAGTTGACTCGGCCAGATCTGTGCCAGAGAGAGGAGCAGCCAGCAGGCAGAGACTTACCTTTTCTCGACAGTGGCCTCTTTGCTGTAGCCTTGTCCTCGGCAGCTTCTCTTTCCTCCCACCGTCTTATCTGTTCCTGCCTCATCTTGAAAAAGAGGATCTGCTTCTGCTCCTCGCTGAGTTCTGCCAGCAGGTCAGGATCGATGTACATGTCCGATAATATCTGTTTCAGCATGGCTGCAGGTTTCAGTTACACACGTTTGCGGCAATGATCTCCAGGGATCAGATCCTCTTCCTGGC